TCACTTCACAAAGTCTCGCTGGATTCCATGCAGCGTGCAGAGGGCGGCTGATGGACAAGGACCACGTCTGGCACACGGAGGACTAACACAGCTCCCGACTGCTGCACCTTGGCTGTGTAGACTTCCCGGGACAGGACGAGGCGAGTTTACGGCCAGCTCTCGAGGGAGGAACACAGCAGCTCCGGGTGCTGGAAGCCCCGTGCACACGGCTGCTTACAGATCAGCTCCAAGCAGCCCCAGGAGCAAAATAAGAACACAGCATCAGATGTTTCCTTCCTCGCGGCACCCAGGCCAGCAGGAGATCCGCCACTGAAAACCTGGACCGCAGGGAGAGTCACGCTTGTCCCCTAGAGAAACGCCGCACGTACAAGTTAGCAGTAACAAGACGTGCACGGCTTTAACTTAGACACTGGGTTGAAACAGTGCGTTCAAAAATTCACAGGCAAGAATCCAGATGCTGCTTCAACTTGGGGAACAAGGTGAACCCTTAAGATCTCTTTTCCATCGAGCTATTTTATTCTTTTGAAAGACAAATTGCAATAATCTCTGAAATCCGTAAGTGTTGAGCTAACAACATCTCCAAGCTCTTGAAAACATAAATTCCTATCACTAGGGCCAAGTCATCGCTGAGCAGAGAATTTATGATTATGGCCAAACAATAAAAAACTTGACCTGAATGATTCAGATCCCGTTTATTTATTTATTTATTTATTTATTTTACAGAACTGCAGCTCATCGACTCAACGTGAGTGGCTCCTCGCTGTGGAGGGGCACATGGAGCCCCTCACCCACGGGAGGCCTGGCCACCTGCAGCAGCTTCCAGCCCAGTGCATCTGCCTGCGGCTCTCCCAGGCACGCCTGCCACTCAGGAGCTGGTCAGGAAGTCGGGCTCCAGGCCTCACCCCACTGCCCTGCACTGGCTCGGATCTCTCCAGGGACCTGAGAGAGCTGACAACTCCCTCGCTATGGGGAGGCCGGAGCACCGTGAAAAGTCCAGCTGGTTCACGGCTGGCTAGGGAGGCCTCGACCTGCCCCACACTCCTCGTTCCATCACCGGACCAGACCACAAGCCGCGGGGGTCCATCACCCCTCCCCAGTGTGCCGGCTCCCTCCTCCCTTGGCCAACCTGACCTGAGACACCACAAGGGCTGCCCATCCCCCCAGCCAGCGCTCAGTCCCCACGTGACTGGCGGGCAGTAAACTGACTCAGAAAAGCAAAACGCAGAACACGTCACTGCACGTCGGCGTGTGGCTTTTGGGTATTTCTGCTATAATCGGATTTCATTTCAAGAGCATTCCCGAGCTCAACCCTTTGTTCTTGCTTAGCCTTGTCTTGAAGTTTCGAGATTCAGATCCAGGCATCTGTCTGTCGCCAGTGTCCACTGGGGACAGTCCCTCTGTGGGACGCCCAGCTGGGAAGACTGACAGGACACAAACGCCCAACCTCCCTCTGGTTTCCAGACCCTGAGCCCGCTCACGGAAACTTGTTCCTTGCGTTACACCTACGTACCAGCATCCTATTTGGGAGAAAGACAATACATCCAGCCTTAAAAAACACTTCCCCACGGTCAAACTGGGTGGCTCTGGGAGAATGCCCAGCATTGGACCAGCAGCACTGGTCGCCATGGCTGCTTCCTGACCGGAGGGGAGGATTTCCATTGAAAATGAGTGTGACTCGCTTTCGGCTTTCTCGGGCCCTAGCTGGTCCTAGACGAGGGTGTCTCCCTGGCGAGTCCACCGTGCTGAGGTCGACAAGACCCATGGGTGAGGCCGGTTCTGAGTCCTCCCCTGGCTGTCCAGCTTTCTTCTGCATCTCGTCTTCTCACACTGTGAGTCCAGGGGAACCCCAGCTCAGCGTTTGGGAAAACTCAACCTCCTGGAGAAGCGGATGCACCCCCTGGCCGGAGCGATTCAGCCTCAGCGGGCACAGCGCGGCCAGGAGGCCCTGCACAGGGGGGTCAGCCTCCAGGCCCAGGGTCCCTCTACCAAGCCCAGGACCTTGCCCACAGAGTCCTAAGGAGCCCTCAGGTGCATGACACCCACCAGGCCCGCTCTCCTGCACTCGCGATGGCTCAGGGAGCGTGCACCAGGGACACGTCACTGTGCTGAGCCCCACATGTGGGAGGGTGGGGCCTGCTGCCACGAGGAGCCCTCCACGCTGACAGCTCTACCACCTCGGGCACAGAGCCCGGCTGAGCCGAGAGAAATGACAGGAATGGTGGAGGCAGGGAGAGGAACACACGCGAGGGCTGACGTGGTCCCAGAATCAGCTGTGGTCTCATGTTCAGCGGGATGTGCGTGGGTGTCCAACGGCACCTGGGGGTGGGGGCTGGGAGCCAGACTCTGCTGTCAGCTCTGCTCCCACTGCCCCCGGCCCCCACCAGGGGGATCTGCAGAAGTCCTGGGGCACCCAGGGGCAGGCTCGGGGGCCCTGGCAGAGTGCCGGTCCATGACCCAGTGGTAGTTCAGGGTCCTCCAGGGGCCGCCGGGCACTGCGTCCAGGGCCTGCGCTTCACACGGGCGCCCCATCGGGGGTCCTCGGGCTCTGGCCCTCGCAGGACCTCCTGCTGCCTGGGCGCCCCAGCTGTGCAGGCCACACCCACAAGGCCAGACCCTTCAGGCCCTGCCTTCTCCACCATGACGGTGCCAGGAGGCCATCCCCGCACATGCTCTGTGCCTGCCGCCCTGGAGAAGCGGGAGCAGACCCCTGTGCCGGGCACTGCGTCAGCGGCAGGACCGTGGTGTCCGTGCCACGTGCGGCGTGGCAATGAGAGCAGCCTGGGCCAGCTCACCGTGGGGAAGGGAGTTTGGCAGAGCCACAGAGGTCTCGGCGTGCGACACCCAGCGTCCCAAAGCACAGTGCAGCGGTGAACGACGTCCCACAGACGCCCCCGCAAGGGCAAGCTACTGCGGCCGACTCCCCGGGTGTCTGCTGTCTACACGGCGGAGCCCAGTGCCATCATCCCAGCCCTCAACCTGGACTTCCCTAACCCTGAGAGCTGGGGCTACGCAGCGAGCCCTGCCCTGTCCACCAGCTGGGGGGCAGGGCTGCGCACCCCACAATGACCTGTAGGAGCTGCTACAGAACTGGCTGTTGACACACTTGTCCCATCAAGGCAAACACGGCCAAGGACAGAGAGGAGAGGGGCAGAGGGGATTCCCGCAGCAGTCACAACAGTGAAAGGCTCAGGACCAGCACCGTGCGGGAGACGGCAAAGCCACCACCCGCACCACCTGTGGACCTTGTGGACACTGGTTCGAGTCCCGGCTGCTGCACTCTGACCCAGCTCCCCGCTGATGCTTTCCCTGGAAAGCACAGGGAGGTGGCCCACTTGTTTGGGCCATTGCCACCCACGTGGGAGACCAGGATGGAGTCCCTGGCTCCTGGTCAGCCTGAGGCAGCCGCCCTGGCCACTGCAGCCTTGTGGGAAGAGAACCAGCCAACGGAGGACCTCCCTCCCTCCCTCTCTCTCCCTCTCTCTGTAACTGTACTTCAAATAAAACAAATTAAAAAATAAGAGAGACAAGCTCACTGACACTCGCCCACCTCATTCCCCAGGCACAGTGACAGCCACCCCCACCACTGTGGCACCCGGCACGGAACCAGGAACGGGCAGAGCTGACAGAGGTGTGGTGGCATCTGCCCAGCTCAGCCCAGGAGCAGCCCCAAAGGCAGCAAAGCAGCGGGGCCCGGGCCTGCGTGGGCTCCCGAGGCTCTCGTCAAGGACCGGAGACGGCAGCATCAGCATCCCAGTGTCGGGGGCAAAGCTGAGGTGAGCGGGCACACCACGGGAGGAAACCAGCGGGGGAACTGAGCCACTTCACAGGTGAACAAACCTCGCATCCCCCGACACCCACAGCACCCTCCTCTACAGATGAACAAACAACACATCCCCCGACACCCACAGCACCCTCCTCTACAGGTGAACAATGTGTCCCCCGACACCCACAGCACACAGCACCCTCCTCTACAGGTGAACAAACCACGCATCCCCCGACACCCACAGCACACAGCACCCTCCTCTACAGGTGGACACCCTCTGAGCACAGCTCCCCCTGTATGAACAGCCCTCGGCAGAGACGTCAGCACTGGGAAGCGTTCTTCAGGATCAATCCTTCCCCTCTAAAAGGGAAGACACCCGAGCACTGTGTGAATTCAGACAGCCGTAAGTACCATTTGACAGCTTTCTCCTTCCAAGGCAACAGGTAACTGCCACATCTTAGGTCCCTTTCTCTAAGCGACCGAGTCACCCATTAAGCCCGTGGCTGACGTGGAACGGAGCAGTAACCGCTGCACGCTGTTAACAGCCAGGCTGAACACGCGTCCTGTGTCACAGAGTCGCGTCCGCACTGAAGCCCCGGGAGTCCTTGCGACGCCTCGCGTTCCGGACGGTGCGTGTCCACAGGAAGCAGCCTCGCGGCACCGTGGTCACTCCTGTGAGGCAAAGGCGGGCCGAGCTGCAGGCCCTTCCTCCACTCGGTGGGCCGCGGCCACGTCAGGCAGGGGGCTGGGGCACCACGGCTTCTCTGCCGACACCTCAAGTGGGCAGGGCACGTGGGAGACCACCGCCTCGAGTCACCCAAGTCGTGAGCATGGCGACGCAGCCGCCAGCGGTCACCTCCTCTCGGTCCACTTGGTCTCGTCTCGGCCGCAGATGAAGCCCGCGGCCAGGAGCTCCCTGGAGAAGCCAGTGAGGAGAAAGGTCAGAGCAGCGAACGACAGCTTCGGCCCCAGCTTGTAACACAGACAACACGCGTGAAAGCAAACGCAATCTGCCTGAAACGCCCCGGCGTGCCCTTGGCGCCCCCACACTGGCACTGGCGAGCACACGCAGGGGGAGGGTGGCACGGGAGTGTCCCGGGCGTGCCGGAGGGTGCTCCTGCCGCCATTACGACACTAGCAGAGGCCGGGCGAGACGGCAACCACGTCTCCGATTTACACGTCCCACGGGAAGGCGGAACTCTAAGAAACAGCCGCTGCCTTGGGGCACTGAGGAAGAAGGCATCTGGTTCCTGCAAACCGTGGCCGCCCGCGAAGGCAGCAGTGTTCCTCCTGCGCCAGCCGCCGGGTGGGGAGGCGCGGCGGGAGCCGTCCTCGGGCAGGCAAGAGCAGGTGCTTCGCAGGGGCCGTGGCCTCCCCCGCGGGCAAGGCCAGGGCTGTCCCAGGTTCTTCCACAAGTCCTCATCACTCTGAGAACATTACACAGCGGCCGCTTTCTGAGGGTGTGAGTCGTCATCAGCATCAACGTGGCTTTGGGAGTGGAGCCAACCTGGGCTACGCGGAGGAGGAACAGCCAAGTAGAATGGCTGCGCGTCTGCCCCCCACTTGGGGACTGGAAGTGCCAGGGTTCTCCTGAGCGCCACGCCCCCAGCTCCTGCCCACGGCAGCTCTCGGGGAGCCAGGGGGCCACGCCGGCCGATGCCGCGTTCTGGGCCTCTCAGGAAGCAGCGGCGGCCGTTCCTCAGTGCTCCCAACCCCCGAGTCCAGACCAGGGCAGCCCTACACGAGCAGCAGTGTCGGGATAAGGCATCCCTGCTCCTCTGCGTGAATGAAGTGTGAAACACATGCCCGCGAGGGGCTGAAAACTCTCAAATACTCACCTGCTCTGGGCACAACTTCTGTCCCCGGCAACAGCCAGGAGGGCCGGCCATTCCCCGTCATTTCTCACCTTCTCTCCTGTCCGGGTAGTCGCTTAGGGCTTTGCGATGTCAACAGGGCTCCCTGGAATGCGATTAGTGACAGTGAATCCTTGCTGGAAGAACCGGCGTGCCAAGGGCTCACGTTGAGTGCGTTCTTTCATCTGGAGTGTGGTATTTCACATGGATATTTTCACATGGATTTGGCACAAGTGTGTGTCACACAAAATGCTTTTCTGAAAAACTCCATGCTTTTATGTGCTCTGAAAATATATCAGAGTCTTAGAATTCAAAAAGTACTTCTCTACTGTAGGAAACTTTGAGATTTCCCTACCGTTTCTTAATGTAAACATGAATGATTCTGACATTGTCATGAAAACATTTGGAGCTGAAGTGGTGACAGCTTTAAGCCCACACTGACATTTCCAGAGGGAACAACATTTGGGCAAACGTGCATTAAGTATCTCCAGAAATGTAACGAAAAAGCCACACGCAGGCATCAGAGGCGTCCCCACTCACAGGGCGGCTGTGCCCCAGCGCGATCTGAATCAGGCTGGTGTGGCCAGCCCTCTGCGCACTGCAGGACCACTGCTCCACCGGCCTGATCGTCACCCCGTGGAAATAACTGCCCACACCTCCTCCTCACTGGCACTCCTGACCTCTCCTTTCTGGTAGGTTCCATTCAAGGCACAGCGAATGCTTTGGCCAAGTACACAGACAAGTTGGATATTCCTTACCCAAACGTCTTGGCATCAGAAGTGTTTCAGAATTTTTTTTTTGGCGGGAGGGAGGGAGGGAATTTGGGAATACTTCAAAATACATAGTGAGGGCCGGCACTGTGGCACAGCGGGTAAAACCGCCATCTGCAGTCCCGGCATCCCATATGGGCACTGGTTCTAGTCCTGGCTGTTCCACTTCCGATCCAGCTCTCTGCTGTGGCCTGGGAAAGTAGAAGAAGATGACCCAAGTCCTCGGGCCCCTGCACCTGCGTGGGAGGCCCGGAAGAAGCTCCTGGCTTCGGATTGGCGCAGCTTCGGCCATTGTGGCCAACTGGGGAGTGGGCTAGAGGATGGAAGACCTCTCTCTCTCTCTCTCTACCTCTCCTTCTCTTTCTGTAACTCTGACTTTCAAACAAATAAATGAATCTTTAAAAAAAATACACAGTGAGATGTCTTGGGGAGGGGACCCAAGTCTAAACACAAAAGTCGTTATGTTTCATATGCATGCACGTAGCCTGGGGGCAATTTTACTCAACACTTTCAGCAGTTTTGTGTGTGAAAGAAAGCTTCTTGGTGTGGAGTTTTCCACTTCTGGCATCGTGTGGGTGCTCAAACAGCTTTGCGTTTGAAAACATTTCGGATTTCACCACCTTGACTAAGGACACTCAAGCTGTATCAAACTTCAACACCCACTTTCCTCTCAGACTCCCTGAGGGCCTGCCCTGCGAGGACAGTCGCCCTTGGCGCCTTCCTGGCTTGGGTTAGTGAACTCCACAGTCTGAGCTCACGGTGTAGTCTGCCACCCTCAGAGCAGCAGCCACGGCACCGCACGGCACCGCACGGCACGGCACGGCACGGCACGGCACCAGCCTCCTGCAGTGAAGCTGAGGGAGCTGGGAATCGCAGGGGGCCGAGCACAACCTCACAAGCTCCACCCACGACGGCGGCCGGCGGGGGGATCTCAGGGGGTCGGCTTCAACCCCGCGGTGTCTCCACAGTGACGTCAGAGAGGCAAACATCCCCATCGCGGGTCCGCGACCACACCTGGAAACACGGCCGCTAATGTCACCTCTGCCTTTGAAATTGAAAAATCAAAGCACGAGGTTTTCTAAATAAGTCTGCTTTAAAAGATACATTACAAAAATTCCGGATGGGGTTGCTCCTTGTTCTAGAAGGAACTAACAGAATTCTACTAAACTCTCAGGACATTGATTCATTACCTATGGACTTGTACTAAACTTCCATTTCGTAGGAGGTATAAAACTATACAGCTTCTGATATATGCTTTCAAAATAAAATAAAATTGGAAAACAACGCTCGCGGGACCTAAGAATCTCCTGGGTGGTTCAGGGCACTTCTCAACGCACGTGGGATTCAGTGAAACCAATGTGACAGCAGGTTGTGTGTGTTACGTGTCTGGTCCACAAGCAGAGACAACACCCAGAGCAGCCCGGCCTCTCCTTCCTCACACGTGGGTGCAGTTGGTGGATGAGGGGGTGTCCACCCGACTCTTGTTTTCCCTGTTGTCACTGAGCGGGGACTTGTGGCGGAGGTGGCACTTGAACACTTGCTTGTAGGCTTTCCTGAAGTTCTCAGAGAGGAAGGCGTAGATGATGGGGTTCACGGAGGAGTTGCTGTAGGCCAGGCAGTGGGCAGTGACCCGGAACAGGAAGGAGGCCGGGGTCAGCGGGAAAACGCCAAACTCGGCCCAGAGATGGATGACGTGGTGTGGCAGCCAGGAAATGCCAAACACCACCACCACCACCAGGACCGTCTGCGCCGTCTGCGGGGGTAGGGGAGGAAGAGAGGAAAGACAGAAGTCGATTACAGCAGAAAACCAACCCGGCGCTCTCGCCAGCCCCAAGATCCTTTCACGCACATCTCATGGGGTCAGGCAGAAGGCACTCAGTCTGCCTCCAAGGTAACTGTTGCGTCACACGATGTCTGTTCACAGCGTCTCCGAGGCCTGCGGTGTGCCCCCCCCCCCGGGAGCACCCCTCCACCGAGCACAGCGTGACCTCGGAGTCCTGGGGGCAGATGGGGACCAAGGTCCGAGGCAGCAGCTGTTTACCTGCAGGAAGCACATCACCCACAAGTGGGGACCTCTGCCTCCTCTCTCAACGCCAGCCAGGTAGAGGCCACGCACACGCACACGCACACACACGGGTGTTCTGGAGCCGCTTCCAGCCGGACCCTCCCCTTGCTGTCCCTAAATCAGAGACTTGGACAACAGAGAAGCGTCGACTAGCTTGCCTCGGGCTTTCTACTGAGCAGACGAGAGAGGAGGTGGCCTGTGCTAAACGAGGACCCTCCTGTACACAACATTTGTGCATACAGACCCCACCTCCTCCATGGGCCACAGGACGCCGCTGCCTGTGCCTGTGGGCACGGAACCACCCACCAGGCGCTCGTGCCGGTCTGCAGGCACAAACCAAGACAACGCCTGTGGTATTCAGATGCCCAGTTAAGGCGCCCTAATTTCCCGCTACAAAATGCACAGCAGTGAGCTGCTTCCTTCCCTACAAAGTGCTCTCCTCCAAGAAGCACAGCCAGGCGCCAGGCTGGGCCACCGTGCCACGGCAGCCACGCAGAGTCCCCGCAGCTCTGGATGGTGCTGGCACCTAAGGCAGCGGCCCCTGGCCGTGAGCATCGCTGCTCTGTGGGCCCTGGAACGACCCATGGGATGTCCAGTCACACCAACACGAGCACCCAAACTCTGCAGCTGAACACCGAGTCAGGGCTGAGGCCAGCTCGTCACTGCCCGGCTCTCACACCTGCCCTGTGACCACCGACCCCCTTTCCTGCTCCACCGCCCGCACAGGGACACATTCACGCAAAGCAGTTTGGTCGTCAGGTGGGTCACAAAGGCCCCCAAGACCACGTGCATCTCTGTTCTCCAACCTAAGCCCACGAGGAGGCTCCCCAGCCGCTCACGGCTGCTCTGCCGCCCCAGGTCCCGGGGGCAGGGAGGAGGCAGGGCGGGCACCGGGATGAGACGTCTGGGATCTCAGCCACTGCCCCGGAGCAGGGGTCAAGGAGCCTCCTCCTGCCCAGACGCCATCCAGGCTGCAGCGCTGTGGGGCACAAGCAACACGGGGCCACACGGGCCTCCCCGGCCGGGAACGCGGACGCGACCACCGCAGGCCGGCGTGTGATGGGGGCGATGCACACGGGAAGAGTCAGGAGGAAAGGCAAGCGAGAGAAGGAAGCGGAAGAAAGCTCATGGCGTTGGCTGTTCTCAACGCTCCCACAGAGCGAAGAGTAAGACACAGGCCACAGGTGTTGTGACTGGGAAGCCACTGTCACAACACAAGCGCCCCCACCTGCACGGCCGTCACAGGCACCAGAGCCCCGCTGTGGCAGAGGTGGCCCCACACGGCCAAACGCCTGCAGGACATCAGGCCGAGACACCCAGGGCTGATGTGGGCACCAACTAGGACGCGAGCAGGAAGCTATGAAAGAGGGGACTTAGAATCCAGGGGCCAGGCAGAGGCGGGAGACAGCAGAGGGCTGGACTCCAGGACGAGGCCGGCCAGCGCCAGTGGCCAGGAGGAGCAAGAGGCGAGACCCAACTCACGGTCAGGTACCACGGCTGGGCAGCAGGTCTGTGTCGTAAGTGTGGAAACAACGCCCCTCGCGGGGCCTCGACTCCCAGGCTGAGCCAGACCGCACCTGCTGCATCTAAACGTGAGAGGCGCTCATGCGGAAGCTGACGGGGGGCCAGCTCACACCCCATGGCCACTTAGCACATGACACGCAAAGCAAACACACAGCGCACTCACATGTATCTAGGGAGTGTCCGCCATCATCCCATTTACCCATTAGCGTATGAGAAATGCCACTCTGGGTGATTTAATCAAACAATCTAGACGTAATTGTACCTCCAAATAGAACAGAAAGCATCCTCGTTTCTTTCCCATCAGAGCACCTCTGGGCTTCCCGGGATGATCGCCCTTGGAGATTCCATTTCATTGCTTCTTGCTGGCGTTTTACGAAGCGTGGAGCGCAGGGCACATAACCCCAGCAGCTTGCTGATAAGATCCCTATCTTATCCAGACCCACAGGGCAGATGGCGGCATGACCTCAGCATGGGATATTTTCCATGGCAGTGCCCTGCGTGTGTTTGCAGTCTGTCTGTTTGTAGAGCATTCAAAGTGCACCTTTAAATTTCAGCAACCCCACCGGACTTCTCAGAGCTAGGACTGGGGTCTGTTTCTGTCTCTTGGTCTACTGGTGGCCTTGGAAGGCAGCCACATTGCGACCTGTAGTGAGTATGCGGGGGAGGATCTTTAACGGGAGTTCACACAAACTCCACGTTGTCCACGGCTGCTCCCCAGAGTCCAAGAGGATCCCCTGCAGTGGACGGAGGTCCCCACTGAGGTCACTCTGGAGTCGCCCTGCATTTCATCAAGGACCCAGCCCCTTGCAGCCGACATTCTCATAGCTAGCACACAAGTCAGGGCCCTGCCTACCGGTCCTGGACGCTTGGCCCTGTAGCCACAGCAACACCAAGATGTCAGACACACCCGTGTGCATAGCTGGGGACAGCAGATGACAGAGGTCTTCTTTCCCCACTTGCAACAAGGGTTTTCAGGCCTCGGGGCCTGGAGAATTGGGGTGATGTGCTGACCAGGCAAGGTCCTGTGCTGGGAGAAAACCAGCCTGGCCCCAGAGCTGGGGAAGGGGTGCGGTGTGGGCTCCTCCCACCCTGGGCCTAAGTAAACCACAGGCCCCCCGTGTCCGGGGCGGGGAGCTCTGAAGTGCAGGCCTAGCAGTCTGCCTTCCTGACAAGCTCGGGAGGGAGACTGGGGAACCACTGATGGGTTACACAGAAGCCAGGACACAAGCCAGACTCCCTTACCCACGTGCAACTGCGACCATCATGGAGGCCTGGCTCAACACCCCAGCCCCCGGGTGGACACGGCCCTTCCTCAGACAGAGCCAGAGACGCCGCCTCCCGTCTCCTTCTGAAGCATCAGAACACGACACGGAAGCCCCAGCGGACACGAGGCCGGTCCTTCTCCCGTTCCTGACACGCGCATTTCCCCTCTCTCACAGCACCACTGACACGGAAGCCTCCCAGTGGACACGAGGCCGGTCCGTCTCCCGTTTCTGACACGCGCATTTCCCCTCTCTCACAGCACCACTGTGTGTTCTGGAGATGGTGCCACGCCCAGCGTGCATGTGCTGCGTGCCCACACCACCTGCCTACGGAGAAGTCCCCTGTAAACTTACACACTCAGCCTCTGCCTCATTCTTACTATCCTTGGGATCAGGCCCTCGTTCGCGGATTTCTGTTTGTTCCTTAACTCACAGTGTCTGGAAACACTTCTCCCTGTCCTCTCTAGGAAATGCTCCTTCTCCAGTCGTCTGAGACATCTGCTCTTCCTTCAAGAGCTGGACTCACAGAATGTCTAACGGAATCTGGCTGGAAAGAAAAAAAAAGACTACAAGCTGAAAATGATGAAAAACATTTCATAAACGGTAGCCAGAAAGCTCGCCGAATACTCCAAGCCAGAGTAACAGAAAACAAAACACACACACAGGAAGCAAGCGTTAGAAAGCCTCACTCGCCGGCAGGGCACCCAGAGACCTTTCACTCCGACTTCCCTCCCAGCAGCCCCCAGGCAGTGAGCTGAGACCCCAAGGATGACTTCAGGATCCGCGTTCTGCCCAGCCAGCCTCGTGCCAGAAACATGTCTTCTAGTCTAGCAGAGCCTGAGCAAAACATCTAACCAATTAGAGGGCAATTATTCTTCAATATTAGGTCTGCAAGAGAAGACGGACTTCCTCCAAGCACGGGGGTGACTGTTTATAGCATGGCTATCGGGAACAGTCCAGTTCTCCACCCCACATAGCCATAGATCTCCGCAGGAAAGCCCCGAGGTGACGGTGATGTGGTCTGAATGTCTGCATCTTCCCAAGACACCTGCGTCGGAACCGAGTCACCGAGGCGAGGGGGCCACGGGAGGAGCCTTCTCCAGCCGGAATCCCACTCTTAGGAGAGCCCCCGCGTGCTGCCTCCCCCTTCTACCATGTGACAGCGCAGTGAGAAGGTGCCACCGACAAGCCAGGCGACGATCCCTCTACAGGTACTGATTGCCGGATTCGCTGGTGCCTGATCTGGACTGCCAGGCTCCAGAGAGATGAGAAA